GACATCAGCTGGGCGCCGCCATCTTGTTTTGATGAAAAAGTGCTTCCGGTGAGCTTTCTACCCGGAAAAGCTCACCGGAAGCACTTTTTCATCAAAACAAGATGGCGGCGCCCAGCAAGCCAGCGGCCCGGTAGGACTTGTTCCACGGACCGGTGGTTGGGGACCCCTGTTGTAGACTGATGATGTTGTATCCCTCCCTTTCTGTTGAGGGAGGGTTCTGTTGACCGGGCGGGGGTGGGGGGGGTGGGGGAGAAATATGATACCACCTATCTCCTGTTTACAACACAGTCCTTTCAGCAGTTCCAAGAAGGCTCCACACCCATTTGCACTATTCAGGTGACCCTGAGGACACAGATAAACCTCCAAGTGGCCTCAAAGACTTGCTAAAAGGATGCAAACAATCAGATGTCTGCAAGGAGTATAAATCCAGTCAGAGCTCAAGAAGCTTCTTGGATGAGAAGCGAAGCATCTTCGAAGAGAAAACAAGAGAGTATAGTTGCCTCTAGAAAAAGCACTTTGGGGACAACCGTGACCTGGGTGACCGAGAATCTCCACAGACACTGAGAGAAGCTAGAAGCCAAAATATCATTGGTATTTAATTTTGGACACTTTGCAGTAAAACTATGTCTTTGCTTCTCTACATTACAAAAAAGTCAAGAACGTCTTTGTTTACCTTAAACGATTCCAAGAATCCACCATGTCCACCATTCTCCAGCTTGTCTTCCTCGGATCCTAGGCCCAACATCAGCTGTGTGTGGATGTGGAGCTCGTCGTGCAAGTTGTCCAACAAGGCAGCCCGCGTTCGATCCTAGAAGTAACATTTATGAGGTTCTAAAATGGCCTTGCAGTTCTGATGGGAGCTAAAAAGGGATTGGGTCATTTTTTTCCCAGCCTTGGTAGCTTGAAGGTGTGTGGACTTCAACTTCCACAACTCCCACGCTGGCTGGGGAATTCTGGGAGTTGAAGTCCATCCATCTTAAAGTTATTCAGGTTGAGAATCACTATGGCAACTCTAAAAGACCAGAGAAATATGGTTAACGCCGACATATTCACTCCTAATAAATGATTTTTTTAAAAACTCAGAGAGATTTGGCTAGAGACTCATGATTTGAATGGGGGGTGGATTGCCGGAGCCCTGACACACTATTTATGGTGGTTTATAATGTTTTGCCCAAATCCAACATTTATTTTCAGTTTTGGGCAAAACTGCCCCAGAGTGAATGACTGGTTCACTTAATGACCACAATGTTTGCTTAATGACCACCACAAAAAAGTTCATAAAATTGTGTTGCCTATTTAACAACCATCATGACATACAACCATAATGGGCAAGCTCCGTTATGGTCATAAGTCAAGGACTACTTGTACTTATGGATTGGGTGCCTGGCTTTTCTTATTTTTTATTTCATTTTGTTCTTTTCCTCCTTCTTGGTTTTATTTTTTGTCTTTTTCACACTGATACCCGCCACCCAGAGTTGTGTTTGCTGCCACATGGGTGGTTTTATACATCTTTTAAATAAACAGAAATAGTATGTGTACGATGTTGTGACACACGTCCCGAAGGTGCAAAGGGAAGGGAGGAAAGAAGGAAGGAAGGAGGTCGAAGGAGAGAAGGAGGAAGGGAGGAATCATTTGACCACTTCATATTCTTAATAACTTCCTTCCCTCACCCAGACAAAACCTCAGGAGGCCCTATAACATTCCAGACAAATGGTTATCCAATCTCCTCTTGAAAACTTACAATGAGGGAGCGCCGACAATTTCCAGAGGTAAGCCATCTCATTGATTAATTGGACAGCCATTTGCCTGAAATGATATAGGGTTTATTGCCTGAGCAGGGGGCTGG